ACGTCAAAATCCAAAAATCAATAGCCTTCTTGTACACAAATAACAGACTCACTGAGAGGGAATTAGGGAAAAAATTCCTGTCACAATAGCAAACAAAAAAATGAAGTATCTTGGAATCAATCTAATGAAAGAAGCAAAAGACCTCTACACTAAAAACTACAGCACTCTCATAAAAGATATCAAAGAGGATATAAGAAAATGGAAAGATATCCCCTGCTCCTGGATAGGAAGAATCAACACAGTGAAAATGGCCATACTCCCAAAAGTGCTATCCAGATTCAATGCAATGCCAATTGAAATTCCAACACTATATTTCACAGAACTAGGAAAAAGAATCCAAAAATTCATTTGGAACTATAAGAGATCCAGAATAGCAAAAGACATCATAGGCAACAGACACATTGCAGCAGGTATAACAATTCCCAATTTGAAACTATATTATAAAACCACTGTGATAAAAACAGCATGGTACTGGCAAAGAAACAGACATGAGGATGAGTGTAACAGATTGGAAGACACAAAAACAACTCCAGATGTACTCAGTTACCTCATCTTTGACAAAGGAGCTGACCATCCCCACTGGAGGAAAGATAGCCTCTTTAATAAATGGTGTTGGAAAAACTGGATTTCAACCGCCAAAGATAAAAACTAGACCCTTATCTTTCACCATGCACTAAATTAAAATCCAAGCGGATTAAAGATCTAAATATTAAAAATGAAACTAAACTTGCTGGAAAATAAGTTAGGCAGAACACTTGAAGACATTCGCATAAGAAAAGACTTTATGAACAAATCCTCAGTAGCATGGGAACCAGCAGAAAGAATCAACAATTGGGATCTCATCTTATTGAAAAGCTTCTGCACTGCAAAAGCAACCATCAACAGAACTAAGAGACAACCTACAATGTGGGAAAAATTTTTACCAGTTGCTCCTCAACGGACTATTATCTAGAATACATAAAGAATTCAAAACAATCATCCCCCCAACTATAAAGACTCGATTCAAAAATGGGCATCTGAAGTGAACAGACATTTCTCAGACAAAGAAGTAAAAGCAGCAAGTAAAATATGAAAAAATGTTCCACATCACTGGTCATTCGAGAGATGCAGATGAAAACAACACTGACATTCCACCTCACCCCACAAAGATGGCTGCTATCAAGAAATCAAACAATAACAAATGTTGGTGGGGTTGTGGGGAGAAAGGAACCCTTCTCCATGGTTGGTGGGAGTGCAGACTGGTGCAACCACTATGGAAATCAATATGGAGATACCTCAAAGAGCTGGGACTAGAGGTTACATATGACCTAGCCGTCCCTCTGCTGGGTAACTTTCCAAAAGAATTAAAATAATCAAATCACAGTGATATATGCGCACCTATGTTTATAGCGGCACAGTTTGTAATAGCTAAAACTTGGAAACAGCCCATTTGCCCATCCGTTGGAAACTGGAGAAAGAAGATGTGGCTTTTCTATAAAGTGGAATACTACTTAGCCATAAAGAATGAGAAATTAGATTCATTCATAGGAAATGAATACATATTGCGGTTATACTCCTAAGTGAAATAAGTAAGTCACACGTGTATAAATACCGAATAGTTTCTCTGGTGTGAAAAACTACAATAGTACATAAGATCCTAATGATATAACTGACAATGTGAAATAGGAAGAAAAGGGCTAAAGGTGTTGAGAAAGTGGGAAGGGTAGGGGAAAGGCAATAAAGGAAAAGAAAAAAATATGAGAAAATGAAAAAATGGAAATAAAGTGTTTGTAAATGGGGTGGCGAGGAGGGGGTGAAGGGAGGGAGGGTAGGTACAAGGGGAAAAAATGAGAACCTAGACCTGTTATGTGAAGGTATAAGATCCCAATAATGAATGTAACTGTACTGTATACCTAAAATGTACCAATAAACTAAAAAAAAAAAAAAAAAAAGAGTAATACTCTGCCATAAAGAAGGATGAACTTGAGACATTTTCAGGTAAATGGATGCACCTTGAAACCATACTCTTAAGTGAAATAAATCAAACACACACATGTAAATATCACATTGTCTCTGGTGTGAGAAAGTGACAGTGTAAATGACTGAAAAGTATAACAGATATTGTAAAATGGGAATAAACTGTTCAAAATTACAGAGTGTGAGATACTGTTAATAATTAAAATGTTTTTTGCAAAACGGTATATTATTATTATTATTATTATTGTTAGGAAATGAGAGATTACTATTAGGAAATGAGAGACTAGCAAATGAAAATAAATTCTTTTAAGATCACGATACATGAGATAATGAAAAGATGAAAATAAAGTGTTTGTAGATGGGGAGGGGAGGAGGGGGTGAAGGGAGGGCAGGACTAAGGGGAAAAAATGAGAATCAAGACTTGTCATGTAGAGGTACAAGATCCCAACAATGAATGTAACTGTACTGTATCCCTAAAATGTAAAAAAAAAAAAAAGATCACAATACAGTGTATTTGCCATTGTTACTCTGTTTAGTTATGAAAATTTTTTTCATAGAATAGCTTTTATATTTTTATTAACATCTACTTGTATTACATTAAAATAAAAAGATGAAACCCCACAAAATTCCCAAAATATAGTACAGATAATGGTCATCCTTACTATCTGAACACTACTATATGATATTACAATATACAAAAGAAAGAAATTTGGATAACATGGTATCTCTCACCATCAGAAGTTTCTGCCTGCATTTTATTATCTTCACTGAGAAATCAACAGATTTGGATGATGAAAGATATTTGTGTTTAATATGTCTATATCATATCAAATAATATCTGAGATAATTTCCAGCACAGTTCTACTACTATACTAGTTACAGATTGTGGCTACGATGAAACACTGATTAATTATTGGAAAATATGGAATAATTAAAAGTAAAATTTTTTGCAAAAAGAGTGGAGTCCAAAGGCTTTAAACTAAGTCAACAAGAATTAAGCTAAGCGAAACAAGAATTAGAAATAAGCAATCACATGTGTAACTCAGTTATTATACACACGAAAATGGTTCAGAAGCTGAAAATATTGTTCTATTTAAATGTCATTTTAATAGAAAGAAAAAAAATTGAGTATCTAACAAACAATATGAAGATTCCCAGAAAGCATATAATAGGCTGGCAAAATGCCAGCATTTTATTGTCAGGGAAATAGCCACAATCATCCTGCCAATAACAGCTGCTGTGAATCTTTGATGTGTTTTCCCCCTAAAAGAATGTAAGCCCTATAATGCAAAGAATGCTATCTGTTTTATTCAGGCGTGTATTCCAAATTTCTAAAATGGTGCCTAACACAAATATTGGCTAATGTTATGAAATAAATTGGTCACAAATATATTCATGTGAGATAGCAACATTTGTGAAAACACAAATCTTCATTTATAATAAACTATATTCCAAATTATTTGCATGTATGTATAGGCACATAAACATGCCTATAGATATACACCTAAAGTAAGGATATTATAAACATATCATTACTTATAACAAAGCCAATGAGATCTGAAAACAAGATTACTTTTTTAATAATAAAATCACAAAAGGAGGTCACATAAATATTAAAAAGAATATACTGAGAATAAAGAAGTTGTTTTAAAATCATTATATTTAATCTCTAGTAAATGCTTGATTTCAAGCATTGATACTGATATTCAAGGCTTCCTTGTTAGATATATTAAGAAAAGATAACAAATATTATAGGTTGAACTGAGTTCTCTAGGTTGAATTGACTATAGGATTGCTACTTATGTGTTTGGATAAAATGAAGTCATAATGGACGGAGGAGGGTAGATCCAATATCATCGATGTTTGTATAAAAGGGGTAAATCTGGACACAGAAAGAAGTGCACAGAGAGTGGGGCCATGTGAAGAAAAAGACAAGTGATGGAGGTGATATTTCTATAAGCCAAGGGACGTCAAAGATGACAGCAAACTGCTGGAAGCTAGGGGAGAGGCATCTAACAGCTTTTTCTTCACATTTTTCAGAAGGAACCTACTCTATCAAAACCTTTATCTCAGAGTTCTCAGATACAGCCAATTAGAAAGGAATTAGAAAGATAGGAAAATCTCTAGGCAGATAAGATTCTTTAATGACTAAAATGGTAAAATTCAAAATGATCAGGTGTGAAAGCCTTATAAAGTCTTATCTTTAAAGACTTTACTCTATGAAGTGTGATAAAAGGGACATTCAAAAACCATATACTACTTTTATGGTGTGGCTCCATACATCCTTGAACACAGTTTGATATCCCATAGATTACAGGTAGATTTAAATTCTAAAAGCATAATCTGCTGATGTTTGCGATGTTACTGTTTATCAGAAGCCAGTAAGAGACAAAAGAAAGTTCACAAATCTGAAAAACTACAACAATAGCTTATCTATAGCCATTTATCCTGAGGTTTAGGAGTAGTCAGGTCGTTAACCACCTGCCACATATCAGAGGTCATTTACTGGCTACCTGGAGAGTAAGATAAGAAAACAGTGTCTGCCACCAATTTCATGTAATTCTAAAAGTCAGTTCATTTATGGAAAATAAAGCAAATTTTGCCAATATGCTCATTTTCCTTCTCTCACGGACATAGCAGGGGTGGAAGGAAGTAATTATATCTCCCTGTATTTTCTTTCCCTTATTGAAAATAAGATGAAACAGCTGGGGAAGAAATTATAAAGGAAATAGAAATGCCTCATATACTGACACTAGTATCAATATTTTGTCACTGATTCAGATCTATTCATGGAAGGAAATATGTATTTCAGCTTCTTGACAAAGGCTATAAAAAACTACAGATAAGAATAGAAAGTGTAATATAAAATAATATCATGAGGCTTATCCATAAAAGATGAAGCCCTACGTTTTACCTTAGATAGTATATAAACTACAAACACAAGATTCTACATATATGTATAGTATATGTAATATAGGGGCTATGCTATCATAAAGTGATTTGATTTAGTATTTCAATTAAAAAAATTCTTTGAGAAACTAAACTGCTAATAATTTTCCTTCCAGGATTGAGTTGAATACCTTCTATCTGTGGCACTTCACCATGAAGTTTGGCTTTGCTGGAGAAAGGTGCATTCTGTAGTACTAATGCGAAAAGAGATGGAATCAAGGACTGCAAGGCAGAAAGATACATGTGGAGCTTATGTTCATCCAGACCGTGTTCTCCTTCCTGAAACATAAGGAGGTGGAAACGAATTTTAGTCTGTAGAAATTACATTGCTAATTGGATTCACATTATTTCCCTTTGTGGCAAATAAAACATTTAAGGATCTGTATGTTGTACTCAAAACAATAACACTCAATGGAGATGTCCTTTCAAAATGTGCAGAAGCAATAAGGCATTGTAGAACTAACAATCTTTTATTTGGAAAATTTCAGGGTAAACATGAGTCACCACCAACATTGAGAACTCTTTTTTATAGGTTCTCTTTTTCTGTAGGGTGGGTCTTATCTTTTAAAATTTTATAAGTCAAGTTAAAGAAATTAAAGTGAGCCACAGAACTCATTTTAAATGTTCAACTGCACTTGCAACTTCCCTTCTAGTATTTCCTGTATCCTTTTAAATATTTGGTAATATTAGTTTTTGAAGTACTGAAAGTGTTTTAAAATAATTCTGGGCACAGAAAAAAGTAGGAGAAGAAATTTCAAAAGGAAATAAAAAGATGAGTTAAATGATCATTGTAGTATTTAGAAACTTAATATTAAAGTGTAAAGATCATTAGAGATTAAAGCATTTATTTCTGTTCAAATTTACTTGAGATATCATCAGTGTATTTGAAATAGCAACTGTGTCAAAATATCAAAGATATGAATTATTCACCAAGTTCTTAATTTGTTCATATAAGAATTTCTTCTCTATCAAATATTGTACTATTTTTTAATTGCAATGTGAAATTAGTCAAGTTATAATATGGGAGAGCGCTGGGGATTTAGCTCAGTGGCACTGTGCTTGCCTCACAAGCGCAAAGTCCTGAGTTTGATCCCTGGTACAAAAAAAAAAAAAAAAAAAAAAAAAGTTATACTAAGGGAGAAGAAAAACAAGGTGTGGGTAAATAGGTAGAATATAAACACTTATAAAAAATTCCCTAGGTTTCAGAGAACAGTGTACCTTAGTCAATAGTTTATTTGTGGTTTAAAAAGAAAAAGTAAAAGTTTAGACAAAGAATAGCCCTTTTTAAAAAATTAAATAAATACATATACATATGAACACATAACAGACCATGTACTGAGTAATTATAATGCTTTACTGTAAGAGCCTTATAGGTCCCTTAACAATTTGTGGCAGAAAAGGTAAGAGTATGGAGTCAAGAGACTGGTATCAGATCCTGGTTATGTCATATTATAGCAATGGGTCCCTGGTAAGTTACTTATATATTATGTCTCACTTTCCATTAAAAAACACAGAATAGAATCAAGACTTGTCATGTAGACGTACAAGATCCCAACAATGAATGTAACTGTACTGTATCCCTAAAATGTACCAATAAACTCAATTAAAGCTGAAAAACAAAACAAAACACAGAATAGAACTCAAAGGGTTATGGGAAAAATAGAATTTTAATATTTAATGTATCTACCTAAATAGCAAAAATAGGCATTCATGAAATGTTAAGTTTCTCTTGTATCCCCTTGTGATAGTTAACTACTGTACCTACTTGAGTAAAAGAAATTTTTGGAACAAAAATTAGATCAAGAACTTTCTACTTTTCTTCAATTTTTTTACTTGGGGAGAATAAAAAGTTGTGAAATCATAAACACATGCTGAGATACATTTGGACCTAATAACTTAATAAATAAAATTATTAGGTTAAAAAAAAGGCAATAACTTGCATTGAAATAGGCACAGTAGAAGCAATTTTAATATCATATAAATAGGAAAGCTATACAAACTCAGATTTTAGTTCTCTGTTTCTAGAACCATTTTATATAAAAAACAGGTAAGCCCTCTGATAGATGCAGACCATACCCATTTTCTTCCACCTTTGGCAAAACTTCCTCAAATCTCTCTTGGCTCAAGGCAAAGAGAATCTTGCTCATTATTGGTATCAGGTATTCAGCTAAGTGTTATTTTCTGTTTCTGTTCCCCAATATTCCTCTAAGATGGTTTAGAATAGGCCTTGTAATTTCTATAAACTATATAAATAAAGGAAGGACTTACCCTGAGAAGCTTCTCAATCTTGTTCAGTAGTGTAGGTATAAGATGAGACTGTAAATTTCCAAGTTCTGTGGTCCAAGCAGCATAAGCTGGTAAAAATACTTGATGTGTGGCACTAACTACTCTTTCTGAATTATCACCCAAGGCTGACTGCAACAATTCAAAACCCTGCCAAAGAGCAGTGGAGTTTTAGAAAAATAAAACTTTTTAAAACACTTAGTAAGACACTCATAATACTACTCTTCTCATTTTTTTAAATGTCACGTATCCATTGATGAGAAAACCAAAAAGAAGGGTTGAAAAACAGCATAAATTATGGTGGTTTTGACACAAGCTGTGGAAGAGATTATAAAGAAATCACAATAGTTTTTCCTTTGAGTTGCAAGATTGAAACTAGGTGGTTACCTCCAACTGACTAAAGCTGCCACAGCTGCCATTCCTACTATAAATTTTGAAGTACCTCAATCAAAGTTTTAGAATGTTATCAGAAATTTTATAATGGGGTAAGAGAGATTCATTCTGAAAAAACACACCTGTTGATACTTGTCTGGATCGTCAATGTATCCCATAATGATTCCAAGGCTTTTGATGACAGCTTCTCTTACCAAATCTGCCTTATCTTCCATTAACATCTGCTGCAACATGGAGAGAACCAAGGAACTACGGATTTCTTTCTGAAAATAACCAAGATGTATTTACTATTTATTTACTATTTATTTACACTAATGCAAAAAGGTATAAAAAATAATGACAAACACCCATGGGTTCAAAATCTAGATTAAACAGATCGTAACATTTTGCTGTATTTGCTTTGAATCTTTACTTTTCAAATCATAAAACATTAAATACATCCAAAATATTGTTCTCTCCAAATCTCTCCCACCACACTCTATCTCTAGAGTTAATAATATCTACCTTGAATTAAGTATTATTTCTCAACATGTTTTTATATACAGAACCAGCCAAAAAAATGTATACACACTTCAGGAAAAGAAAAAATAGCATGTGTTTTCAACAGATGGTGTTACCTTCATATGGAGGACTATACAGGATGTTGTATATCACAGAAAACTCTCTACACTGCCGGCCTAGAGAACTAAAAATGTATGTACAATTTGGGTGTGGTGATGTATGCCTATAATCGCAGCCTTTGGCAGGCTGAGGCAGGAAGATAGATTGCTGCCAAGTTCAAGGCTGGCCTGGGCTACATAGTAATTTCAAGGATAGCCTGAACCACAGAGAGACACTGTCTCAGAAAACAAATAAACTACAACAACAAGGAGACGGAGAAACAGGGGAGGGGTGGGAAGGAAAAAGAAAGAGAAAGAAAAGGAAGCATGGAAGGGAAGGAAGGAAAGACAAAGAAAGAAAGGAAAAGAGAGAGAGAGAAAGAGGAGGGAGGGAGAGAGAGAGACAGAGAGAGAGAGAGAGAGAGAGAGAGAGAGAGAGAGAGAGAGAGGAAATGCATTTACAGCAATCTCAATGACCAAGGTTACCCAAGAAGCAGTTCTCCATAATAAATGTCTGGACATTAATGGCCACCACTTTGAGCATTTCTTGTAATTGTAGAGTCCAAAAGTTACTTGTATTAATCTCATGATGTCTCAATAAATGTAGTAAAATAGTAATAGTGAGTAAGCTTCAGGTGGATGTTTACTTCACATTGATGTGGGCTGAAATTGTCATTCCTATGCTCTGTAAAGAGTCTCCTCAGCAGGTGTTACTCTAGTTCAGCCATGAGCACACAGAGAAATTAGTGAAGTTTAGAGATTTTGCTACTATCAATTACTAGATCCTCTGAAGAAACATTATAATTACTATTTGTGTTTTAGTAGCAGATGAGAAAAACTGACTTATTGAGAGCAAACAACGCTCATCTCAATCTTGGAACAATAATAGGAGCTCATATTCACATCTATTTATGACTTATCACAAGAGCAAGATATCAGTTTTCTTCTGGCGGATAAAAAATAAAATTTATTTATATATTTTTATCATGCCAGTTCCTGATGAAAGTATGAGAAACTAAGAACTCCAATCTACTGTTATCAGAACTATAAATCCATGCTATCTTGGTCAGGAGACAATTTAACACTGTTAAAATAAAAAGACGCAGCCAGGGATTTGGCTCAGTGGTTCTGCCACTGAGCACAGGGTCCCGAGTTTGATCCCTGGTACCAAAGAAATTAAAAAAAATAAATAAATAAAATAAAAATATGCAAATGTTGCAAGAAGCAAAATGTAGAGATACTAACAATATGAGAAACATTAAAAATGTACAGATGGGTAGCCAGGCATTTAGCTCAGTGGTTCTGCCACCTGCCCCAAGTGCAATTCTGCCACCTGCCCCCCAAGGGCAAGGTCCTGAGTTTGATATCCAGTACCAAAAAAAAAAAAAAGTACAGATAGGCACACAAGAATCTGTCAGTGTTATTTATATTCAGGCACTGTAGTAGAATATAGAAATTATATTTAATTAATTTGAGGTACAATTTTAGAAAAGATATAAAAATATAAGCTGGTATATGCATTAATGTTTATTTCCTACAAGTATAAATTAAAAAATTAATAATGTATACCCTTGGAAAGAATGGTTAGGGTCAGGATAGGGAAGCTTTTAGTTTTTGTTTACTTCTCTGCACTGTATGAATATTTATTTTTAACTAGGTAAATATATTCCTGCTTGGAGTAAGACTATGGACTATTCTTTCTTTTCAGCTCTCTGAATAAAAGAACATTCATCATATACATTGCTTTCTGAAAAGACAATCATTTTACTGTTGGCTTCTCATTCTTCACTAAAGAATATGAGATTAAGAGTAAATGCAACTAAACAACTTTGGTAATATTGTATAATTCCATTCTTGTAGCCTAATTTGATTAAGGAGGATCACAAGTCTAGTCTAGGCAATTTAGCAAGACCCTGTCTCAAAAAATGAAAAGAGCTGCGGATGTAGCTCTTGCAAAGGATATGAGTTCAAGCCACAGCACTGTAAGGAAAAACAAACAAACAAACAAACAAACAAAACCAGCCACAGACATATACATGAGGAAATGGGTGTAGCTGTATCCCAATAAAACTTTCTTTACAAAAACAGGCTGTGGGATAGGTTTGGTAGTCAGGTTGTAGTGTGTCAAGTATTTAAGTTAAAGTAATTGATGCTACCTCATTCCCTTCTAAGTCTTGCACCTTTCTAATAAGTGCCTACGAGTCCAGTGGTTCTCAATCTTTTGGTGGTACAAATCCCTTATTAATTTAAAAATTAATAAGCATCTTAAAGAACTTTGGGTAATATGTATACATAGTTATTCAATTAAACTAACAATACCCTGTCTCAAAACTTAAAAAGGGTTGGGGATATAGCTCAATGTTAAAGCCCTGAGTTCAATTTCTAGTATCTCAAAAAGAATATTATTTAAAAATATCAACAAGCTCATTAAATGTTTAATAAGTAATATTTTTATAAAAATATCTATTTATAGAAGAATTCTGTTCTACTTTATTCCATGTTTAACTTAAAAGACATTGTTCTGCATTCCATTTATTGATACAGTTTTGAGGTATTTAAGGAAAATCTGACCTCATGGAAAAAGTATAATGAAAAAGGAGCATTTTAATAGCTTTTTCAAATAAAAACATGGTTCACAGTTAATAAGCACTTAAAATTTGATATATTAAATTCCACTGGTACATCTTAGATTTTTTTTTCTTTTTTGAGAGTTTCACTAAGTAGTTCAGGCTGCTCTTGAACTCTTATGTAGCCCAAGTTAGCCTCAAACTCACAGTGATCCTTCTGCCTCAGCCCTCCCAAGTGCTGAGATTACAGGTGTGTGCCACCATGGTTGGAAAAATCAGTGTTGTTTTCTGTTTGTTTGTTTTTTTCTATCTTGCATTCTTCATTTGGGAAAAAAGTCAGAGATGTTTTTTCAACACTGATACTTTATATCATTTTAAAAATCCACTGATTTCATCATAAAGAAGTCTTTATGTATTTAGAAGATTTTAAGCTTACAGTAGCAGATACTAGAACTCACTTAAAAGCTCTAATTTTATAACTGCCAACAAACCCTGCTTTTTTGTTTTCCTTGAAGTGACAGGGGAAATAAGGAAGAATAGAATGCCTGCCATAAACCACTGTACGAAAAATCACAACTTGATTGTCAGTGGTTCTGTCAAGCAAAATTGATTTTCCATGAAAAAAGTGGCTAGTTTAGCTAGTATCTGTATAACAACTGTGTAAGTGCTTTTCCTGCAAATAGCAAAGATGCAAGGGCCAAAATTTAGTAAAATTAATAATTTCACTGATTCAAAAAGCTCCTTTTAAAAAATAAAATTGGCTTGTTATGCAATGGTAGTAAAGAATTTAATCATATTAAGTCTCATTTAGGGAACCATTTCTCTGATTAGTCTAATGAATGAGCATTTTTATTCATCATGGTTTTGTACCAACATTTCAAATGTGAACATAATGGCATAGACAAAGAACATCTTATTATAAAAAGTTTTCACCTCATCAACCTCTTGGAAAGGATCTCAAGAAACGATGCAGGTTCCTCAGACCACTGAGAACTGTCTATATATATATATATATATATATGCAAAAATAATGGTAATATACTTAGTGGCCTGCAATACAATAATGCACTAATGTGAGCCCTTTCTTTCTTGGCTCATTTCTTTCCCTTATTAAAACAGCATACCTAAGAGATTTTTAATTACAAAATATGACATTTAAAAAAGCCTCCTCTACTATTAGAAAAAATGCTCTAAGGAAAATAAATGACAATTCTTACAGGAAGGTAAGGTGCCAATGCTCCACAGGATTCTGCCACAAGTAGTCGTCTTTCTGGGTATTTGTGATTAATCTAGAGTTAAAAAAAAAAAAATCAAGCATAAAAACATATCCCCTCTTCTTCCAACACAATTACTTGTCACCACAAATCCTGCTATGAATGCAATAAAGCTTCTTCCTTTTCCATTTTTGGGACTCCCTGTGTGGCTATACCTAGACCAAGAATAAGGGAAATCAAGAGAGTTTAAATATGACACAGGTATCAAATATTAAAGGGGGAAAAGAAAAAAGGGAAAGCTAAGATGAAAATTTGGCAAAAAGTATCTAGATCTTATGTGCTTTCCTAGGATTAGGCTTTCTCTAGGATGTCAGGAGAAATCAGGACTTAACTCCTACCAATAGTAGCATATTTTTTAATTTGGGAAATCTGGCTTCTAGACCTTAATAGATATAGTCACTATGTCCCAGTCATCTCTTTTACCTAAACTTTAGAAATAAGTTAATCAATGATTTAATCAGCTTAACTTGAAATTTGCTTTTCTTTTTAAAGTAAGACTTCATTCCTGTTTGCGTATGTGAAATGATGGTGTTTTGCTATTGTGATGACTACACTGAACCATAACAAAAAAATAACAAAAAAGGTGACACATACTGGGCTTTGTTCCCATATGTCTTCTTCATAGAATATAAATCTTTCTTTGACTGGAAAGGAAGTATATCTGTTCTCATATTTCCATATGAAAAGGTGACATAATTCAATAATGTATTGGATGCCTAAAATTAAGAAAAGAAATTATATAGTAATCTATTGGGCAACAAACTAGAGTTAGGTGGATAGACAGATCTCTGATATCCACATTTATTCAAGTTGTAAAAGGGGTGGGCAATAGAGATGTTTATAACTGATATCTCTGAATTAAATTTAATCCTAATACAGTCATCTTAAAAGCAAAATGCTTTGAATATCAAAGTATGGTACATATAAAGTATCATTTTGTTTTTCCTTAGTTTAGGTTCAAAAGGTCTCAAAATTAAATGAACATACAAAAATCAATTATATTTCTATACAACAGGAATAAACAAACTGAAAATAAAATTAAGAAAACAATTCTCTTTACCATAAAAACATAAAATGGAATAAAACACTTAGGAATGGATAAAACAGAAGTAGTAGAAAACTTATATTCTGAAAAGTACAACCATTGTTGAAAGAAGTTTTAAAAGACATAAATGGAAAGACAATCTAAATTCACAGACTGGAAGGCTTACTATGATTAGGATGGAAATACTTTCCAGATGAATCTATAGATTCAACGCATTATTTATTAAAATTCCAGCATTTTCTTTATAGAAATTGACAAGCTGATTCTAAAATTATATGGAAATCCATGGCAACCATATAACTAAAACAATCTTGACAGAGAAAAACTGCATTCAGTGGGTTGTTTGTTTTGGGAATGATAATATTTTAAAATGGATTCAAGTGACGGAAATACAACTCTGAATAAACGGAGTCCACTGAATTATATACTTTAAATGAGCAATCTGTATGTTATTTGAATAAAGAAAAGGTAAAAAAGTATAAAAAATTAATATACACCTAAATATATGTAGAATTGTAAATTCAAAGTTCTTTACATCCTATCCAAGTTAATTTCAACTTTAAGCATCCTATATTAGTATGCACTGTAATATATGTAATATGTATGGCACTGTCAGAAGTAACTATTACTCTATGCACTGTTAACTTTACATACTGAATCTAGTGGCTCCAATATATTTTTAATAAAAAATGAATGCCCAAAGCAATTAGGGCTAGAATTCTAAATGACTACACATTAGTGATATTCTAGAGACCAATATTTTAAGATAAATGACTCTGCTATTATAAATAAAGCTTTTAATTTGTCTTCAACTTTAAGCATCCTATATTAGTATGCACTGTAATATATGTAATATGTATGGCACTGTCAGAAGTAACTATTACTCTATGCACTGTTAACTTTACATACTGAATCTAGTGGCTCCAATATATTTTTAATAAAAAATGAATGCCCAAAGCAATTAGGGCTAGAATTCTAAATGACTACACATTAGTGATATTCTAGAGACCAATATTTTAAGATAAATGACTCTGCTATTATAAATAAAGCTTTTAATTTGTCTTCAACTTTAAGCATCCTATATTAGTATGCACTGTAATATATGTAATATGTATGGCACTGTCAGAAGTAACTATTACTCTATGCACTGTTAACTTTACATACTGAATCTAGTGGCTCCAATATATTTTTAATAAAAAATGAATGCCCAAAGCAATTAGGGCTAGAATTCTAAATGACTACACATTAGTGATATTCTAGAGACCAATATTTTAAGATAAATGACTCTGCTATTATAAATAAAGCTTTTAATTTGTCTTCAACTTTAAGCATCCTATATTAGTATGCACTGTAATATATGTAATATGTATGGCACTGTCAGAAGTAACTATTACTCTATGCACTGTTAACTTTACATACTGAATCTAGTGGCTCCAATATATTTTTAATAAAAAATGAATGCCCAAAGCAATTAGGGCTAGAATTCTAAATGACTACACATTAGTGATATTCTAGAGACCAATATTTTAAGATAAATGACTCTGCTATTATAAATAAAGCTTTTAATTTGTCTTCATAAGTGAAAACCCCATCTTTTAAAAGCAGAAAAATAACAAGTTACATGACTCAAACCTTAAACCTAGAAAGACAATAATTCTGAGTTCTGCAGAAGACTACAAAATTCAATATATCATTAAAAGTACTATTAGTAAAATAATGAATTGAATTTTAAGTACAGAAACCTCCCACATCAATGACTTATACTTTAGACACCACATATCTCTAACATACACTAGTATACAGTACATATTTCTGTTTACATGTACACAACTTGCTCTTCCTAGAATGCATCAAGGACATGCCCACCTTAGTGCATTTGTACCTCGTGTACCTTACTTCATTCAAATTCCTTAAACGTGCTTTCCTGAGACATTCCTTCTCTCGCTATCTTTTTTGGAAGAGCATTATTCATCCCCTCGTCTGCTTAATTTTTCATCCTAACATATATTAATATGCATATCACAGCCTATCATGTCTGTGTTTACTCTTATAATCTGACTAGGAGGTATCTGTCTTTTGTTCATCACTGTATTACTAAATGACTATACCAGTACTTGGCACTGGAATTAGTGTTTCATGAGTATTTGTTGAACGAATAAAGCAAAGCACCTCAGCAGTCTGAAGCAATATTAAATCACTATTCTAAAACTAGTAGCATAATTTGCAACCTATACATTTGCTAATATAACTGAAAAAAGAAAACATAAGTTATAATAGCTAAGGGAACACCCAGTAGGGTTAATTTACCTGTTCCCAACATTGTGGTAAAAGTTCAGCTTCCACACGTGTGGGTCCAACATGACGTGCAAATGCCACACAACCTGTCAGTATCATTTGCCTGAAAAATAATACAAGAAACAAAGACTTGTATTTGCATTAGAAAGCACTATTGGAACAAGGGTTAAAAAGAGTTAACCCTAGGCATCACTCATTGCTATTTCTCAATATATTAACCATAAAATGACCCAATATGTCTTTATTGTATATTGTAGCAGCTTCTCACTCACTGCAATTCTTTTTTTTTTATTTTGGTGCTAGGGACTGAACCCATGGTCTTATGCTACCACTGAGTTACACTCCCACCTCAGTCTTTATAATATTTATCTACACAAGTCTCTTTTATATTTATATTATTCCATGTCAGTTTTTCATATTTTGCTATTTTTAATTTCCTTCTACTTTTTGAGAGCAAATAAATATAAAAGGAAAATGGATAAGAAATTTCTAAGCTAGTTTAGCTGTCTGCTTCCTCATGAAAATTTTTTAATCTGATCAGTTTTTGCCCCTAAAATGTACACATATTTTATGCATATATGTGTGTGTGTGTATGTGTGTTTCATAATTTTAATTACTCAATTTTCTTAAAATTTTAAGCATTTCAAAGACTTATTAAATATATACACTTATACAAAACTTCAAATTATCAGTTACCAACATTATACTAAAGACATAAACTTTAATAGGAAAAACTATTGGATCCCTTAAAGCAAATTTAACAGAGTTAAGATTTAATATTCTACAAATGCAGTTCAAAACAAAAGATCAGATGGCTTACAAATTATTAATAGTATTGGAAAGTTTCCTATGGTAGTAAAAATAAGATTATTTGATTAGTAAATAATTCAGGTGTCAATTCAAAGAACTGGCAAAAATGCCATTACTGAGCATAAAGTTAAAAACTTCTCAAGATGCTACAGAAGAACCTATGATTCATGAAGGAAAAGTAACTTATTACATGCTCACTTAAAATTTTTGTTTTGTTCATATTGTTTATATTATATAGAGTATGATTAATTGATAAGTGTATTTTACTAATGTGTCGTATTTCTGTAAAATGAAAGTGGATTTAATGGTGTACACAAATGCCTAATTTCTAATTTACCTCGACCTGAAGCAAATCTAACAGGTACTTTCTACCACCAGGTGGCAGTTATCAAATTACATGCAGTCTATGAAAACTGGCTCTAAAATATGGATTACTGCCTTGAAAACCTAAACTAAACATGCAATAAACGGTATTTCATTATTAAGTTATCCAGATAAAGAATGTATTTTTCTAGGAGAAAATAAAATACTAATTTCCCTAAATAGTACTATTATAGAGAGGCAAGTTAGGCAGAAGACAAAAGGAGCTAGAGAGGCACTGGGTCCAAGGTAGGAGAGGCAGGACGGCCAGATCTTGGTCAGATAAGCAGGAATCTGAGGTTAAGAGATAACACGGTAAGAAAGAGGTAGACAATTAACTTCAAGGATCTAACAATCCACGTGATGGATAGCTACTATGACAACTTCTGCTCCTAATTATATCTGAAAAATATTTTTTCTTTACTTTGTTCTTTTAATGAACTGCTTTGGACAGGACAGAGGCCAAGAGAAACTTGCAGATGTAAGCTGCCTAGGTGCTTCAACTCCTCATAGGGCCATTTCTACTTTAAGTAAGCTTATTTAGTTTTATAAGTTGATCTTAGTTTGACTGAGTTGTCTGAACCCTGGTCATTATTTGGTATAAAAAATTAGACAAGGGACTCCCCTGGCAACCCACATTTGGCCCCTCCCAATCACTGGGAGCTATTCCTCTCTCCTAAATAAACACTCCTCTTTACTCTGTCCTCAAATTCAATCTTTACAGACCCAGATTACGCTGTTATAGTATCACCAAATTGTCCTAGAATATTTTCAGATGGAAACAAATGGTACTAATATAGTGATTTAATTTCCCTTATTTCTACTTAATTAGGCTGTAAAGGCTGCTGGTATAGATCAACTTTGGCTGGAAAGCCCTCTTGCTCTTAGGTGTATATATATATATGTATATATATGGGCAGGAAGAGAAATTTATTATACAAGACTCTTTGTGTGTACGCTCATAGTTGAGGAGTTCCTTGTATTTTAATTTTGAGCTTGATTTGTCTAATGGTTCACTAATTTATGATTTTCCAACACTCTCAGAAGAAATGAAAACTATAAATCAGAAAACCAAATACTAAAACTACATAAAGCTACCAAATCATAAAGTATAATTCTATTTTTTACAACGTATAAGCCAAAATAAAATTTTTATTAAGATAAAAATAACACAAGAAAACATTCAACTGCATTATTTTGTCTAACTGGTGCTTAGTCCACTTATCCACCCACCAGAACAATTTCAAGCCCACAGCTGTAACTGGATGGTGGAGTGCCCAGTGTTCCTTTCCAGGATCTTGTCCTGTTCAAAGAACTGGATGGGACAAGTGATGAATGGAAAGGTTAACATTTATTGAAGGTGTAAGAAAAAGTACAAATGATAAAGATGTGGAAAGAGGAGAAAAAAGAAGTGAACTCTGAAGAAGAGAGAAAATATGCTCTGCATGCACAGCGAGTCATTGCAAGAGTAAGACAGTGGCGAAAAGGTCAGCAGTTGCCATCTTTTATATCCTTTTTCTGACATCAGATCCAGGCCATCCCATGCAGGGGCTCTGAAGCTGTTCTGTGCATATATCCAGGTCGAGATCTGATGGGTCTCTGTGACTGACAGGTCACGTCTGACTGTCATGCCAATTTGCCATGCCCTGATCTTCTCCCTCACAGTTGTATAGCTACTCTTTTTTGTTTTTTGTTTTTTGTTTTTTAGTACCGGGGATCAAACTCAGGACCACAAGCTTGCAAGGCGGATGGTGGACCACTGGGCTAAATCCCCAGCCTATAGCTACTCCTAATAATTAAAAATTTTGACTCTCCGAGGTAGAGACAGATGTTTATCATCATTGTTTGGTCAAAATGTATTCTCTTTTCTTAGGAATCACATTGATCTCCGCCCTCACTCCGGTATCTTCGATTATTCTACACAACTATTTTCCTTTAAGATTACATTTCTTTTCGTTCCTTTCTCTTGTTTTTTAAAAGCCATGATGAATTCATATATTTATTTTGTGTGTGTGTGTGTGTGTTATGGGGGATTGAATCTAGGGCCTCCTGAATGCTTGGCAACTACTCTACCATTAAGCTACATCTCCAACCCCTAATATTTACTTCTTTTTTAGGATACCAAACAATGTTTCTTAATCTCTCTAAAAAAACTATTCAGTATGGACAATATATCTAAAAGGGCACCTTGATTTAGTATAATTATCATATGTTTTATGTGTTTTTTAGCCTAGTAGACTGATTCTTTATATGTAATTAACTTCATAATGACATACAATAAATAAATGAATCTGATGCTAGCAACATAAAGAGGTAGAGTGAAGGGGAAAAAGAGTTGAGATATATTGTATACATGTACCAATTCCCTACAATGAATGCAATCATTATGTACTGCAAATATATACTAATAAAAATTTTAAAAATATTTCTCTCAGGTAATATATCATTTTTCAACATATACTTTCTGAATTCCTGTTATTTTCACTGTATAATGCAAGTTGTTTTTTAGGGTTTTTTTTGGCTACAGGGTAGGCTTAAACTATGTAACCCTGGCTGAACTGAAATTTGGACTCTTCTAGCCTGAGTGCTAGGATTACAGGCATACACCACACCATGCTTGGCTTATTTAGTGGAATTTTTGAGGCTCATGTTACTTCTGTTTTTTTGTTTACTAAATTAATCTAGGTCCAGTTTGAGAGGAAGGGAAAAACTACAATCAAAAGCTTCACTCCTATTTTAGGTATATCACAGAAATAATTTAATGAGAGTGTGTTGAATCTAAGTTTGTTTTTCTTAGTATCCAGGACTCTGGACGATGATGAGAATTTATCTTATAAAAGTTGTGAGAAGGCTGGATATTTAACCAACTATAGTATATGAAAAATTAACAACCGCTCTGTACTTCTAGGGTAATTTCTTACAAAGATTAGAATGGCTTATAGGATTTTACAAAGAAAGATATCACTTGTCCATTTCCTTCTACAGTATTTCTTATTTACTGGGAATATTATTCTCAGTAGACCAGTGGTGGTGAACCTATGGAACACCTGCCTAGATTTCCAAAAGGTCTGCCATCATTGGACTAGATGACAAACTCTTGACAGGAGACTAGGAGTCCATAACTAATCAGCTGCCTTATACAAAATTATGGCTATCTTAGTGTCTCCTACTTTTTAGCCAAATGAAACACCTTTTCTTTAGAGTGAAAACTATAGGAGTCTTAGATTGGTCTTCCTAATCCAGCTTCATTGAGTGACATTAGAGTAACAGAAAAATATCCCGGTGCTTTAAATAGCTGATTGTTAAATTTCTTTTTCACAAATGCTTTGTGCAATCTATGACCATACCACCCTGAACACACCCAATTTCATCTGATCTCAGAAGCTAAGCAGGGTTGGGCCTGGTTAGTACTTGGATGGGAGACAAATGCTTTGTACATACATCTTAGTTTTTCTTTTCTATGTCTTCATAGTACAGTTACAATAAGATACAGTTACAATAAAAGTTACAAATTGGGAAGGAAACATCAAGAGATGTCAACCTATTACTTGTCTTTTTCTTAGCAAGATTAAAAAAAACTTACTTTCTGTCAAGATCATGTCATTATAAGAAAACCTTAAGAAGTATGTTAGAATTTAACAAGGTTTTCTTTGCTCTCATAGGTCTTAATAATCACTGAAAACAGCTGAGACTGTAGGCAGGTAAGGTCATGCTTCTCTAAAAATCTGTCTCTTTCCCTCACAGAGATTATGTTTTAATCTGGAAAATAGTAAAATGACTCAAGGGTAACTGGTCACGCATAATGATTTGTTATGCCACTAGCTATGGCCTGTTGCACTTGGAGGGCAAAGGAAGAGTTATTTTATAGCAAATATATAATTTACCTATGCCATCTAAGGCTCCTGTTAGGACTTTCATGATACTTGCTCCCTCTCCCTTATAGTGACAGCTGGAATATAAACTTTACCAGGAGACTTTTCTCTACTAGAAATAAAACACATCAGAATTTTCAGATCAAAATGAACTATCCCACAATTTTCAGGGGAGATTGTATTATAATTTTAAAAGAGACAAAAGTTTGAGGTACATGTAGTGGTGCATACCTATAATCCCAGCTATCTGAGAAGCTGAGGCAGGACGCTGGCAAGTTTTACGCCAGCCTGTGTAATTAGGAGAAACTTTTTGTCTCAAAACAAAATAAGAAGGGCTGAGGATGTATTTCAGTGTTAATGTGGTGGCTTAGCATACATGAGACCCTAGCAGTGCACACGCAAGCACACACACACACAAAGAGGAAAAAGTGTACAAAAACTTAATATAATTTTAATGTGAATTAGTTCTCAAAAATACAAGCTAACTTAAATAATATCTTTTAATACTTATGTTTGTCTAGTGACCATGAGAAGCAATCAATATTTCAAGAAGTTATAGAATCCCCTTTTAAAGTTTTAAAGAATGAAAATTGTCAGTAATTATTATTATTATTATTTTTTTTTTTGGTACCGGGGATTGAACTCGGGTCCTTGCACTTGTAAGGCAGGCCACCGAACCACTGAGCTAAATCCCCAGCCCTGTCAGTAATTATAGCAGAAAATAAGGACTTTAATCTTATGATTTACACATACTTTTTACTTTTTTTTTTTTGAGACAGGTCTAAGTTCAGGCCTTGTACTCACTATGTATCATAGGCTGGCTTAGGCGATTTTTGTGCCTCAACAGAAAGTGCTGGCATTATAGGCATGCACAACCATGTCTCCAGCACATACTTTTAAAAAGCTGATTTGAATTTTCTTTTTTTACTGACCACAGGCTAACTTTCTTGGAGTGATTATCCATTTTTTATAGTAAATTCTAGGTTCCCTTAAAAAACAAAGTGGGGGAAGGAAAAGGCTTCAAATGCATTTATTATTTGGACACATTTTCTATGATTAGAGTAATTCCAAGATGGCAAGAACTCCAGTGCTATTAAAATTGATACTGAGAAGGAAAAGAGCATTTAGGTTACAAGCTAATCTTGGTGTCAAATTAGAAAAATCAGTAAGTTGACTTGTATTTATTTTCCAAAGAAGTAATCATACCCACCTTTGCTCATCATCTGGCCTCTTGATCAAATTGAAAAGTATGTGGAGAAGCTGATCTCTCTCTTTAGGCTCAGGATGTAGGCATGCTGTACACAATATGAGGGGAATCAACTCCTAAAGAAAGATGAGGGTATAAAAAGTTTAAATAAAAATATACTGCAGAATATTCTTTTCTCCCCCCAGAGTATTCTTAAATGGACATTTAAGTCTTCAAAATACCAAAAAGCAAATATTAATTTTTTAAGGTTGACAATAATAAATGAAGACATTAAAATATCCACGTTGGTTTTATAGAAAGTGAAAATCACTATGATGAAACTTCTTTAAGGTTTAACTAACCTTTTTTTTTGTTGTTTTTTAAAAATCCAGTATTTCTCAAGGGTCCACTAGCTTTTTATACTAAATATTGTAATATCCCATAATTTGCCAAGATGATACATAATTTTAATTCTAAAAGTTTTAATAAAACAAAACTTCTAGAAGTTCACTGTATTTTGAAACTTAAAAAAAAAAACCAAAAAAAAATTAACTCTTCCCACATATACAAGGACTATAATCTAATAATTTTGTACCTTACACACCTAACTCAGTGAAAAACATAAAAGACTATTTCTGGGAGGTAGCTCTACGGTCAGGCAGCGCTTGCCTAGGGATTGATACCCAGAGCGGCAAAAAATAGAGGCCAGTTCCACAGGGGCTCAATATACAATCTCAGAACTCTCTGATGTTAAATTTAAATATTTAATGTCATTTGGTTCACTCAACATGCAGAGTTAAATTCAACATTTTGTAAGAGTAATAGTCAAAAGTTTATTTCTCTTTCAAAGAAATACTTTAAAGTAATTAAAGTTGTTCCACACTTTAAAGACAAATTTCTTACACAATATACTGTATATATTATGTCTTATATTTTGGAGTGGATTTTCAAAGCTAACGAGGATAAAAAGTCCAAAAGCATACAATATTTTAGAGAAATCTTCTAAACTACAAAAACAGTATTTTGCAAGATTTTTTTTTTAAAAAATCACTAGGATATAAAAATAAGGAAAGAATGATCATGCCTCTTCTCTTTTCTGTGTACCTCAATATTCACCAAAAAGTGTTAACAGAATTAAATAAGAATTACTATGTAATAATGCATGGTTATCCATAATAAAATCTGAAGAAAATGATCAGAAATTTATATTTAAGAAAAATATTTTTCATTTTGAAGATGCTTTCTTTGACAGAGATGATACAACTTTTGGAATTGAGACTGGATTTTAAAAACATGACCAGAACTATCCTTCCATTATTTCTAAAATATATTATGTTAAAATTATAATTATCTGGAATACATTTTAAATTTGAAAGTAAAAAGATGTAGATAAGAGGAGCTACAAATAATTTAAGGAGTAAAGAATTTAAAACATTTAGTTCGATCCTTGCTACCAAAAAAACAAAAAAAAATTTATTCTGTCATTTTCAATCTCCCTATAAGGAAGCTTCTGTACCTTCTAAAATAGACAACAACTGAAAAGCAAAAGGAATAAATAATTTTGTACTGAGAACAGGAGACAAGAGAGTATGTATGAATTCTATATGGTTAACTAATATTTTCACAACATGCTTACTATAATGCTTGGTGAATCATTTTTTATTTTGTAGGAGAGAATAAGTGAGCTTTATAAAATATTACATATCTTATCTTATTTGGAAGTTTATGAATATTAGGGCCAAGCACGATGGTGTGCACATATTATCCCAGCCTGGGCAAGTTAGTAAGAGCCTGTCTCAAAATAAAAAAAGAGAATTTGGGATACAGTTCAGGGCAAAGCCCATGTGTTCAGTACCCAGAACCAGAAAAAAACATTAATAGAGTAGAAGACCATTAATATCAAAGATTGTTCTAATTCTTAGTTGACTGCATTTAGGCTGTTGAAAGACAGTGACACTAATGAGAGGACTAAGATACTGCATCATCACAGTACTCTACAGAGCGTAGAACTTTAAGGACAAAAAGAAGCTATTCTGGAAACACCAACAAAAGGAGAAACTATGCTAATGACTGAAAGCCAAGAAAGGCTCTGAAAGTTTTACTTATACAGTACTCCATATCAGATCTTTCTCTCTGAAGGATTTTCTTGCTTCCTCATAATCCCTCTTCCTGCTTTCCTACTGTCTATACATATATATATATATATATATATATATATATACTATTATCCTATTTTTTCACATTCTCTCCTTAGTCTATTACTCTTTAAAGATAAAGTTAGAAAATGAAGGTAAGATACCTGGTAAAACTGCAAACACACAGTTTAAACTATAAATGCTCTGAAAGTTTTACTTATACAGTACTCCATATCAGATCTTTCTCTCTGAAGGATTTTCTTGCTTCCTCATAATCCCTCTTCCTGCTTTCCTACTGTCTATACATATATATATATATATATATATATATATATACTATTATCCTATTTTTTCACATTCTCTCCTTAGTCTATTACTCTTTAAAGATAAAGTTAGAAAATGAAGGTAAGATACCTGGTAAAACTGCAAACACACAGTTTAAACTATAAAGTGCAATCTTTACCTCTTTTTATCAAAAAAAAAAAAAAAAACCCAAAAAACCCAAAAAAACCCAAGCATAACATAGTAACTATGTTGCTGTTCTTTCTTTATGCTTTTTTTTTTTTTAAATGAGACTACATGGCACTTTATCAAGGGAAAAGTTTATATCCTGCACTCATAGCGAGAATCTTGCAACTGCAATATGGCTATAAATGTGCCAAACAGCAATATGGCTATAAATGGACTGGACCAGGAACTTGAAGAGATCCTGTCTCAGTTTTATTCCTTAGAATCTAAGTGTCTAAGGAAAGTAAAAAATTTCTCTTTTAATTTCAAGTGAAACATGTAAGAATAAAGATTTGTGCAGAAATGAATACTTTACATATTTTTGCAATTCCCTACTGCTATGAAGTTTTTCTTACCAGACCAAAGATAGTCTCAAAAAGCCTCAACAGCCAGGTGTGTTGGCTCACACCTGTAATTCCAGCATTCGGGAGGCTGAGGTAGGAGGATCACTGCAAGTTCGAGACCAGCCTGGGCTACATAGTGAGTTTCAGGTCAGTCTCAACTATATAGTGAGACCCTGTCTCAAAAAACAAAACAGAACAAAACAAAAGCCTCAACACAGCACTTGACAAATCACTTCTCAACACAGTAGCCATTACCAATCAATTCAAAGTAACACATAAGAGGAAAAGCATTTGTCAATCTGTGTCCTCCTGAACTCTGTAATTTGTGAATTCAGGGCTTTGAAGGAAAACACGTTTCATTCTTCTTAAGCACAGTTAGTAATAATTTCTATTACCATTTGCTTTCTTCTCTTACTGGAAAAATCAACACCATATAGTAGGTCACTGCTGAAAATCTTTGGTTGATACTCCATACCACTGAGAATTGAATATGCTCTAGCACATCAAGGCTAGTTTAAAACTGAAAGTTAAAAATTGGTATGTCAACTCTGTCAGATGGCCTCTTCCTCTAACAGCAACACAGAAGTCAAGAGGTCTACTAAATGATGACAGAAAAATGCTGAAGAAATTTACTTTTTAAAAATTTCTCTTACATTTGTATTAATTCTGAATCCAACATTTAAAAAAATAATGATGATGGCTGAATTCTCATCAGAAGACAGGGCTTTTAAAAAAACGTTTTGTGAGACTAAACATAAAAGAAATGTATTGAAAGCAGTAATGTAAAAGGCATGGTACCTAAAAACTTAAGAATATTTTACATAAAAAATCTTTAAGCATTTTAGATTTGATGTCTCATGTAATATTAAAACAACAGTACAACCATGGCAAACAAAATCAATGGTAATTATAACTCTAATGGGAACATTAATTCAAGTTAAATGAAAATAGAAAACTTACATGTTCATTTTTCAAGGCAATGAAGATCTTTAATATTTTAAAATATATTTTAGCTGCATGGTTACTATTCAATAATGTGTACCAAAGTAAAATATGAAACTGATTTCCTATGATTATTATTGAGGAAAGCAGTATACTAATCCTGTTGTAGAATTTCTAAGCATTTTGTACTTTATTCAGGTAAATGACATTAGCTTTAACGTATTTTGATTTTTGCTATTTTGATAACAAAGCTAAATTTGTCCATTCAAGGTATTTCCCACTCCTCAAGTCCTAGGTTATCCATGAAATTCTGTACAAAATTCAGCAGCAAAGGATTCTAGCATTTTAATCCTCTTCTTTTCTTTCTTTTTTGTTTGTTTCTTTCCTTTCTTAAACAACTAAAACAAAAAACTTTTAATTATAACGAAGACTGTAGACACAGCAAAACAAATCTCTTTAGAAATACAGTGGTACCTTGTTTCATGAACTTGATTCTTTCCACAATTCTGTTTGCAAACCAAATTAGTCAAACAAAAACTGAATCAAATTCAATGGCTAGGTTCAATGTTGACCTTATGGGGAATTTGATTTGGTTCTTATCCAGTTCAGTTTGAGACCAGAATCACAGAGAGAAATGAAATTTGTGCATCAAGATATAATTGTATTTACATGTAACTATAAAATATCTTTTATGTACTGCCAATTTTTCTAAGACATTATCATTTGAGGATTTTCAATTAAAAAACACTTGAAAATAAAAGATTAGTGTTTTTTCACACTAGAAAGCAGAAAAGAAAAAGCATCTAAAAAAAGAACTGAAACAAACTGAATGATTAGATGTTTGAGGTGAGGAGATAAAACACTAAAGAATCAGAAACTGAATCAGAACCAAAGTTTGCCCAACACAGAAATGGCCAACACCAGATAGTTTTACTGGATAATTGTTAGACTTAAAAAAAAAAAAATCATTTCAAGAATTAACACTACTTAAATTGATTCAAAAACTAGAGGAGGAGGGAATAATTCCTAAATATTCTGAAGTCAGCTTTACCCTAAATACCCAAAGACATCACCAAAAAACTATACTCTACTATCCCTCATTGAAGATGGACACAAAAAATCTCAACAAAATAACATCAAGTCCATAAACACATTAAGAGGATTATAAACCATGATTCAATAGGTTGTATTCTAGAACATAAAATTGATCAATGTAATATAACACATTAATAAAACTAAGAAAAAATTTTATATTACCATCTCAATAAAGAACAAGCATGTTTCAAAATTCAATGCCATTTTACGTTAAAAATTCTCGACAGAATATCCTTAAAGTGATTAAGTACATTTAAAAAAATCCTACAGCCAACATCATATTCAATGGCAAAAGATTCAAAGTCTTCCCTCAAAATCAGAAAGAAGAAAAACATCTGCTTTCTGCAAGTGCTGTTATTCAATAATATACTGGTATTTCTAGTCAGAGCAGTTAAGCAAGAAGAAAAAAATAAAAGATATTCAAATTGGAAAAGAGCCTGCAAAAGTAAGAGTACCACAGAACTCATTAAAAAAAAAAAACAAACACTAGAGCTGATAAAGAAATTCAGCAAAGTTTCAAGGTATAAGATCAACACAAATATCTCATGTTTCTATATACCAGGAATGAACAAGAAATTAAGAAAACTATTTCATTTATAATACCATTCAAGCTAATGAATACTGAGAAATAAATTTAGTCAAAGAAGTGAAAGACTTGCACACTGAAAGCTATACTACTGCTGAAAGAAAGTGAAGTTCATGCACTGGAGAACTTAATATTGGTAGGATGGCAATATTTCCACAATAATCTACAAATTCAAAGTATAGTAATCTTGCAAAATTTCAATGATATCTTTTGCAAAAATGACATGCATTAAACTCATATGAGACTGCAAAGGAACATGTAAACAATATTGAAAAAGAAAAATTTGGAAGACTCAGTTTCAAAATTTACTAAAAACCTCAGTAATAAAAGTGGCACGAGACTTAGGATGTGGTACTCAGAAGGCTGAGGCAAGAATATCTTGTGTTGAAGGGCAGCCTAAGCAATTTAGCAAGACCCCATCTCAAAGCAAAAATTACAAATGGGCTGGGATATAGACCAGTGTGAGGGTTCTTGGTTCAATTCCCGGCACCACATACATACATACATATGGCAGGGATATAGCTCAGCAGTAGAGTACCACTGGGTTCAATCCCCAGTACAAAATTTTGCCCGTCATAAGATGAAGAATGTAAAAAAAAATAATATATAGGATGGAAGAAAAGATTTGCAAATCATATATGTGATAAGGGTCTATGTTCAGAATACATAAAGAACTTTTACAACTTAAAAAATATAAGCATAAATAATCCAATAACAAGAACTAGTTCAAGAACCAGAAGCTAATAAAATCACATGTGGGATAGTAAGCTAAAGAATAGGAATTCTTTTGAACAGTTTTCATTGTGAATCTTTTTATATCTGAAAATATTAAACCATGTGAATGTTATTTAAGCATTATTTCCAATGTTATGTACAATTAGCTAGGATGTTTCACATGGCCATCAATTTAGTGAAGAACATTTTAACTGTATGTACATAGCAATAAAAGGCTTATGATGACAGGTACATTAAACTTAAGAAATAGGAAAAATATTAATCCTTCAATAACCAGAGTTTTTTTTTTTGGTACCGGGGATCGAACTTAGGACCTTGTGCTTATGAAGAAGTGACAGAAACACTCAGCTAAATCCCCAGCCCAACAAGAGCTTTTTAAAAAAGAATTTAAGAACCACGGTGAAATTTAAAAGTTCCATCTTTTTATTCGTGTTTGTATATAGTGCTGGAGATTGAACACAGGGCCTTGCACATTTCAAGCATGTATTCTCATGTTTTGATCCTTTTATTCACAGGGATTGTTTTATAAAAAAAAAAAAAAAAAAAAAAAAAGATATACTTCATTATTTACCAATGTAATTTTGAGAGAATAAAACTTTGTTTTACTATAAAGGGCCAATTTTCTGATAAAAATGAATAAGATACAAATAACTAATAGAAAAAATGATCAGTTCTTTATGAAATTATAAATACAAAAATTTCAAAGATTTAAATTCAGCCAGAGAACAAACATACTACATATTAGATATATGTGTGCATGTGTGTGTATATATCCCTATATATATATATATATATAAAACACCATATATAAATATATATATAAATATATATAAATATAAACATATATATATATTTGAATACTGATAATGCAAATTTATAAATATGACATGCAGTACAACCAGAATTTAGTGGTAGTCTTTATGATATATGGAAAATTAAAATAAAAAAGCTAAAACAGCATCTCATTACAATCTGGTAGGTTTCTATAACATTTAAAAGTTACATTAGGAAACCAGTAAAAGGGATGCAAACATTAATGCATTTCATGGATTACATTCTCAGCTGAAAACAGAAAAGAAGCTCAAACACCACTCTGCCAGGCAGAACTGCAAAACAATATGAAATTGGACGCTGATCCTTCAAGACATAGAAAATTCCCATACTAATAACCTTGTATTTTTTAAAAATTAGTTTTAAAAAAAGACCATCAGTAATAGTTCGTTAAATCTTTTAAAATAAGAATATCCACAGGAAGGCTGGGTGTGGTGGCGCACGCCTGTACTCCCAGCACTAGGGAGGCTGAGGCAGGAGGATCGCTGTGAGTTCAAGACCAGCCTGGGCTACATAGAGTGTTTCAGGTCAGTCTCAACTATATAGTGAGACCCTGTGTCAAAAAAAAAAAAAGACTATCCACAGGAATTCTGAGCTTGGTCGCTCATGCCTGTAATCAATCTCAGCCACTTGGGAGGCTGAGGAAGGATTGTCATGAGTTTGAGACCAGCCTGGATTACACAGTGAGTTCAAGGTCAGCCTGAACTAATAATAATGAGACCCTGTTTCAAAAAGCAAACAAACAAAAAAAATCCATAGAAATAAAAACTTTCAAAGCCCTATGCCCTCTTGAGGATCAGCACAAATTTCTGTGCTAAACAGGAAATTAAGGATAAGCTTTAAATGGGTTATGCCAATGCATTATGTACCTATTATACTGTAGGTCCGAGAAATTATGAATAAAAAATCAGTAGTAAATATTATGAAAATAATAGCGGAAATGTGATATATTTTTAAATATTCTCAATTTATTTTCTATAAAAAATTGTGTGAATTGACATTTATCTCATTAACTAATTATAATAAAGCATTTAACCTATATTTAAATCATCGTGTCATTTAACTGAGATTACATCTAATTTTTGAATTACACCTAATCTTTTATTGACAAAACATAACAATATTAATAATAATGTATAAATATAACTATGAAGATAATTACTGGAGTGTTTATAGCTTATAATATATGCTATATGGACTAAATTACACAATGTTTCTATCTGTATCTTGGATATTTAAAGAATCTATCAACAAGTTAAGTATAAAAAAATTTAAGAGACTTTTAGAAGTTATTGTAATCAATATTATGACTACCTTGTCATAATTTATTATCAAACTAGCATTTGTAATAGGCAGCTACCATTACATTATTAGTCCCTGTTAATTTTCAATACAAAGAGTAACCATTTTTGTAGACAACTCAAGCACATCATAACAAGAGCATAAACAAAACAAATTAGGCAACTGGTAATGTAAAAAATTGTTCAATGTACATAAATGGACCTACAGTAATAATGCTGCAGAAGCTAATAATGCTTTAAGCAAAATTTGAAAAACATGAATATCATGCAGTTTTACTGAACTCACCTGACAGAGATGTAAAACCATTCTCTAGGAGTAGAGATGCATGCACAAAAGTAAGAATATGATTGCAAGTAACAGACTTTAACAAAATAAAAATATAACACTAAACTTCAAAAATGACAAAAAATGGACAACATGATGGGATTACATGATGTGATTACTGGGATGAAAATATATTATGTATCTTACCTCTCTCTTTGCTAATAACACATTAGGAACAATGTGTGGCAGGCAGCGTCCCAGCATTAACATAACACTTTTTTCACTGTCTGCAATTCGAGATACCTAGAAAAAACAAAGAATCAATAAATGACAACAGTAGAAGACTTGTGCACTATGGTAGGTGAAAATAATTCATGCTTTGAACCTACCACCTCTGTCCTAAACACACATTCTAATATTATAGCTTATGGTAACAACAATCACAACAGTATCCCCAAATAGCACTCATGTTTCTATGGGCCAGAAATATAATAAAAATACTACAAAGAAGGATTTAATTGAATAGAAAGAATAACTTTTATCTATTTTTGCATTGCTGGGGAGCAAATCCATTGACTTATGATACTAAGTAAGGACCCTATCACTGAATTACATCCCTACCCCCAAGGAATAACTTGTAATGTTCTATATAACACAGCAGGAAAGCTACTGCAGACAACAATTACTACTTTAAAATGAGAGGGTTTTGAATATTCCCCATACAAAGAAACAATGAATGATATGACAGGCATGCCGATTACTTGAACTGACCATTACTTACACATTGCGTTAATGTGTCAAAATGTCACAATTTACCCCATAAAGATGTAGAATTACAGTGGACCCTTGACTTATGAACTTGATCAGTTCCCGAAGGAGGGGTGGCTACAAGTCAATATGGCTGAGATCTGGATGTTTACCTGGGTATATACTATAGATAACAAGAGGTAGATCAATATTCCAGTAACCTAATTAACATGAGTTGTTCATATGTCAGGCCAGTCATAACCTGAGTGTCCACTATACTATGTGCCAAAAATTAAAATACATTTTAAAAATAAGACAGGTGTGGTGACGCATGCCTATAATCAGGATTACTACTCAGGAGGCTGAAGCAGGAGGATCAAGAGCTCAAGCTCTGCCTGGCACCTTTGTGAGATCCTGCTTCAAAAACAAAACAAAACAAAAAAAGATTGGGGATGTAGGTCAGTATGAAGGCCCTGGGTTCAATCCAGGGTATCACAAAAATTAAAATAAAATAAAGATAAAATTATATACCAGTGAAAAGGGTGAAGTCAGGGAGGCCTACTAGGCTTCAGCTGTAGAAACAAGTAGGGATACTACAGGATTGGAACAGCCTCAATGGTTGTTTTTGTCTTTGAAAAGAAGCTTACAAAGCTGTAACCACTGGCTACGTTAATATTGTAGTTTGTATAATAAAACTGCATACAAGAGGAGGGGACCGAAGAAAGCTGACCCAATCTCATAAAGAAGACTGTCTATATCCAAATCATCCTCCAGCTCTTTATTTCCAATGACATCAGAAACAAAAGTCCAAGGGAAATGAACTGGAATTTGACCAAGAAGCAGAAAAGAAGCAGTGAGTACAAAGATTAAAAAGTACCTCTCAAAATCAGTCTGCAACAATTAGAAGAGTTAAGGAAAACTGATCTGAGACCTAACAAACTCAGCTATTAAAGACAACCACTTTGAAATGAAAACAATGGAATTACCTAAAAATAACTGAAATGTAAATGATCTACACTTAAATTGTTTTCCTGAATTGTAGCCAAAAGATACTATCATTATAATTCCATATTAAAGAGAGATTACAAAGGTTGCTTTAAAATTAATAAACATACCTCTAATCTAAGGAACAGAAATAAGCAACTAATTCTTTGTAAGTTCAAAATGTTTCATTTCTCAGAACATTATTTTAAGTAATATTTTTAAATTTTTTTGTATGGGGGAATCAAACTGAAGACCTTGCTCTTGCGAGGCAGGCAGCAGTACCACTGAGCTAAACCTGGCCCTCAAGTAAGATTTTTATTTTAAATAGTCATATATGCTTTTGCATGAAATAATAAGAAAGACAGTCAATACCAGGTGTGGCAAGTGCCGGTAATTCCAGCTACTAAGGAGGTTGAGGCAATAGAATTATAAATTCAAGGCCAGCCTGAGCAATTTAGGAGAATGTCTCAAATTAAAATAAAAATGGCTGTTGCGCATGCATCTCAGTGGTAAAGTGCTGGCCTGTCATGTGAGAGGGAGCCTGGGTTCGATCTGCAGTACTGCAAGGGGCAGACAAAAAATAAATAAATAAATAAATAAAAAAGCACAGTGTTTTAAAATTGTGAAAATATTAAGTATCATTTACCTCTGATCCTAAACGACTGTCTGCTGACATTCGACAAAAAGAGAGTAGTGCTTGATGGAAAGCAGGAGACAATTTCCTATAAGAAAATATTGAATGAAAAAGAGAAAATACCTAAGAGTTACTAATGACATTTAAAGAGAAAGTAACTTGCATATTATAAACCCCATTCCTACATTAATACTACCCCACAAATGTTAACTAGATTTGTAAGCCACCTCTCATGAAGGACATTTCACTGAAGAATAACACAGGGGAAAAAAATCAATACCAACTGATGGTAATGAAATAGCTTGACATTATGTAAATGAATGTCCTAGAAATGTTGGTGGATCAAACCTGAAGTGGCATAGTGGTCAATAATTACAGAAAATATTTGCAAAATCTAAACTGAGGACTTAAGCTTACTCCCAATTTTCTAGAGTCCCAGAAATTTTAGTAAAGGTAAACAGGCTTCAAAGTTTGTCCTAATAAATTGCCAAGAGGAACTGAGAAGGAGATGCTGATATATTCAATGATAATGAGGATTCCTATGTGTCTTGCTTACCACTATACTTCTTGTAAAACTGCCTGGTACTAGTAAGAGCTAAAAACAAAATATTTTTCAGTATTAATAATGAAGTAAATTAACCACACTTTTCTACTTTAACCTGCTACTGGGTATAATATACCTTAATTTAGCAGCTAAAAATTCACTATAGGTATGTGTACACATTAAACAAGTCAGTGCAAATAAAGAATTGAGAAAATGCCAACATACAGGGGGCAAATGAAAAATACAGTGAATGTTTCAATTTTTAAAAAATTACAAAAAATTTGCTGCAGTAAGATACACTGCCATTAATCATCCTTAAAACACACACCCTCATTTTGAATACATTTATCCTGTTTTTCTTGCCATGTTCTGAAGCAGTTCTGTAAGATTTCTTTCTTGTCTGCACAGGTATGATAAAAAATATGTTAAAATTTCTGCCAAGTGCCATCCAACAAAAAGGCAGGCTGATAAAATCATTATATTGTGTCCTCATCCATAGTATTAACTGGATCTGTTACTATGTGACTTCTGGCTCTTCCCCAAAGTCAAAATGACCATGAGGGAAAAAAAAAAAATGACCATGAGAGGTAATGTTTTGAAATGATTCAATTCACTGAGCCAGCCATGATAGCACAACTAAAGACAATCATGAAAGACTTCCAGAACTGCTTCAGAAAGTGTGTGCAAAGTGAGAAGGAGTATTTTCAGGGGATTAATGGCAAGATACCTTTTACTATAATAAATTTAAACACAGTATTTTTCAATCATACCTCATGTAGGAGTTCAATTAATATTCCTTATTTCAGTGTATTTTTTCAAATTATCACCTAAAAGATTTCATCCCAAGGATGCAAGGATGGTTCAATACACACAAATTGATAAATGTAATACAAATAAACAGAAACAAAGATAAAAATCACATGATCATTTAAATAGACAAAGAAAAAAGCCTCTGACAAAATCCAATATCCACTGAAGATAAAAATCTTCAAGAAAACAGGTATAGAAAAACTTATCTCAATCTCATAGTAGCCATTTACGACAAACCAATGGTTTGTCAACATTACATAAAATGGGGAAAAGCTGAAATATTTCCCTCTAAAATCAGGAGCAAGGCAAAAATGTTGTTATTACCACTCCTGTTCAATGTAATTTTTAAAACTTCAGCCAGAAGAATCAGGGAAGAGAAAGAAATAAATTGGAGAGGCATGGGAAAAGAAGAATTCAAATTATCATTATTTGCAGATGACATGATCTTCCATATAGAAGACCAAAAAACTCCACCAAAAGACTTCTAATGACCAAATTCAGCAATCTATTAGCATACAAAATCAACAAACAAGTATCAATAGTGTTCCTGTATGTCTATAAGGAATTCACGAAGAAAGAAATTAGGAAAATATTCACAATAATATCATGAAAAATTAAATACCGAGGAATTAACCTAACCAAGGAAGTAAAAAACCTCTAAACCAAAAACAGTATTATGAAAAAAGAGAACAGCAGAAAATGGAAACATATTTCCAGTTCCTTAATAGGCAGAACCAATATTGTCAAAATGGCCATATTTCCAAAACTGATTTATAAATTTAATGCAACCCCAATCAAAATACCCACAGCATTCCTCATAGAGCTTGAAAAAAAAATCTTAAAGTTTATATGGAACCAGAAGAAACTACAGTAGCAAAAGCCATCCTGGGCAACAAGAGCAACACAGGATGCATTATAATATAACAAAGCTACAAAAACAGCATAACTTGGCACAAAAACTGACATGTGGATCAATGTAAGAGAGCAGAAGATGAAGATACAACCTTGGGCACATTGGACTATTTGATCTGACACAGGATCAAAATATGCTGGAGAAAAGATAGCTTCTTTAATAAATGGTACTGGGAAAACTGGTTATCTACACGCAGAAGAGTAGAACCATAGCTATCACCATATACTAAATTACAATCAAAACTGATCATACATCATATGTTAAAACAGAAACACAATCTCCTGGATGATAAAACAGGTAAAACTCTTGAACACACAGATGCAGACAAAGATTTTCTTAACAGAGCCCCAACTGTGTCAGAAGTAATATCTAATATCAGGAATCAATGAATGGGATTGTACCAAATCAGGATGTTTTTGTACAGCAAAGGAAACAATCAACAGATTAAAAAACTTCCCTAAAGAATAGGAAATAATTTTTGCCAGCTATTCCTTGATAGAGGATTTAGAATGCATAAAGAACTAAAAAAAATTAGAGTCCCCCCACATAAAAGACCCAACCAATAAATGAGCAAGTGAAATGAACAGTTACTTCTCAGAAGTACCAATGGCCAATTAACACATGAAAACATGTTCAACACATCTGAACATTAGAGCAATGCAAATTAAAACAGCACCCAGATTCTTTCTTTCTCTAAAAAGAATGGTTATCATCCAGAAATCAGATAATAAAAAATTCTGGTGAAGATGGGCAGAAAAAGAAGCCTTCCACATTGTTGATGGGAATGTGAACTAGTACAACCTCTATGTAGATTATGGAGAATACGGATATTACTCAAAAAACTAAAATTAGAAATTCCAGCAATTTGATCCAGCAATTACCCTTTGAGGTATCTTCCCGAAAAAGCTAGACATCATACTACAGCGATATATGCATGCCCATATTTATAGCAACACGAACTTGGAAGCATTCTATGAAGTCCATCAACAGATGAATGGATAAAGTGTGGTATTTATACATAATGGAGTACACCTATGCCATAAAGGATAAATTTGAGTCATTTGTATGAAAATGAATGTACCAAGAAACTAAAATATTAAGTGAAATAAATCATACAAGCTTAAATATTGCATGGTTTCTTTTATGTGAGAAACTCAAAATATAAATAAAAAGCAAATGAAAGATAGATAACAGGAAATAGATGATCTTTTGCAAATGGGAAAAGGACCAGAAGAAGGGAGACGGAGGGACGGCAAAGGGAATGAAAAAAATAATTAAGATGTGGTAGGTACATGTACCAATTCCCCAAGAGGGATACATAGTCATTATGTATTGCAAACATATACTAATAAAAAATTAAATAAATTAAGAGAATATGTATGATACAATATTAGTAACAGAAGGAGACATAGGAAAAAGAACTGGGAGTAAAACTATCTCCTTCTATAATACATAGTCAACTATACAAAAATCATCTTCTGGGGGCAGGGGATTTAGCTCAGCGGTTCGGTGGCCTGCCTGACAAGTGCAAGGACCCGAGTTCAATTCCCCGTACCAAAAAAGAAAAAAAAAAAATGAGTTTGATAATGACTAACCAGAGAAAAAACACAAAAAGCACTCCGTAAAAGTATTAATAGCACACACATAAATATGCAAGTACATATTACTTACAGTCTTTTAAGTAGTTAGCTAACATAAAGCCTAGGCCAATTATTATTTATTTCTCACTGATATAATTTAATGTAGTAATTATCTTGTGACATGTTTTTGTGGCATGTACTTTGCTATGCCTTAAATTAAAGTCAATTATAATATATCTGATCTGCAAAAGTAGTTCAAATAAGATCCGAAGTTCTTTCAATACACTGTGTAAGTAAAAGGTGCATTTCAAAATATAGGAGGCAAACTAACCTATTAGGTTTATCAAAATGAACTGTGTTTTTACTTGATGGAGAAGAAGATGGCATTCCTTCTTTTTCTCTCCTGGGAAGAGAATCTGACTTCTTTTTAGGAATAGGAGAATCAACCTCCTGTGATACTGAAAGATGAATGTCTTCATTTTTCTCCTTGTCTGAACTATTTACAACTGGACTCTGTCCACTGTCCTCAGAGTCTTTATGGGGAGGCTGATCCAGGGAATGTTGAACAGAGTCACAAACTGCTGGGATGGCAAAGTGTTCATTTTTGAGGAAGTCCATTTCACTGTAGAACAAAAATTACCAGAGAACAACCGTATTCTTGAAAATTTTGACAACAGGATAAATCTTATAATGTGTTTAATGCTTCGACAAGTGATAAAGCTTTTCTGTACAATATTCACTGTTGCTTCATATACCTACAAGGACAGTTATAAATTCTGAGCAATGAAGCACAAAAATAGCTTATTAAACCCTGTTTCAGTTTACAACTTAACATTTCTTTTTTTATACACAAAATGGGGATAATTCCATGAAACCACAACATTATTATAAGAAGTAAATGAAATAATGAGAAATATGTACAACACTAATGTGAAGGAGTTATTTTAGTGTTAATTGAGAAGTCAAACTATCTTAATTCTAAGACATAATTAGCTGTAAGATCATTACATTAATTTAATAACATTTGGAGAAGACATTTTAGTATTTTAAATACATAAGCATCTATAAAATATTTTTTCAGAACTACTGAAATGTGGGAAAATATCAGACCTTACAGCTGAAATGTTGTTTCATATATTTGTATAACTTGCCAATGTCTTTAAGAATTTTTAGAAATGATCAAATACCTTTCAAGTCTTCTGATTTGCTCCATCAACGACCATTTCTCACTATTTAATAAACTAATCTTATCTTCTAATTTTTGTACTATCAAGGAGTTCTAAAATCAAAACCAGAGAAAAATACAAACTCAGTATCTCACAAATGGTTTTATATTATTTAATAAATACTTTTTGAGGACGAGACTAGTAGCTGTATTTCTTACCTCTAAAGGCTGAGGAGTTTCGAGGGTTGGAGGAAGGTTGCCTAAAATTGGTGTAAGAGCCTCTAACTCATCTTCTTCTACTCCACTGGCCACATCCACAAGATCTTTCCCAGTCACTGGATGATTTCCAAAATCTCGGTAAAGTTGTAGTAAGTCTGGGGGTTTTGGAATGTTTAATCCTACATCATCCCATAATTCAAAATCCTAAAAAATAATAATACAAAAAAAAAACTTTAAATGCAATTTCATTTTGCACTGAGATTTATATTATCGGTAATATCTGGAAAACCAGTCAAAATTTTGTTGTAATGTCAAACTATACATGCCAAGTGAGTATGCATCATACTTATTTTACATCTTCCACTATCCAACATTATTATTCTTATAATTTTTGTGACATTCTAGATAAACAGGTTTGACTATCCTAGATGTGGAGACGTTTTTTTCTTACAGCTTTCTTTTTACCATGGTAATTTACAATGACTACGTTTTTAATATTTTTTCTGGCACCAGGGATAGAACTTGGGACTTTGTGGCGCTGGCACCACTGAGCTAAATCCCCAGGCCTACAATGACTGCTTTTTGTATATGAAACTTAATTTCCAGTATGAATACCACTTGGTCATGATACATTACCCTTCTTACATATTCTCTGATTTCCTGAAACATTATATAGAATTTCTGCATTGATGTTCCTGACAAGTAAGAATCTGTACTTTTCTTTGCTTGCAATGTCTTTGATTTGATACAACAGTTAAGAAGGCCTCACTGAGTAAACTGAAAAATATTCTTCTTTCTTCAGTTTCTACAAGTCTGTGGATTACTGGTATTACTTTTTCCTTAAATATTTGGTAGTGTTCACAAGTAAAGCCATTTGGCAAACTCAGGACCTTGTGCTTGCAAGGCAGGCACTGCGCCACTAAGCTAAATCCCCAGCCCTCTTTTTTTTTTTTTTTTTGAGACAAGGTCTTGCTATGTAAATCAGGCTGCCCTTGAACTCACTAAGCAGCCCAGGTTGGACTGGAATTCACAGGGATCCTCCTGCCTCTGCCTCTCAAGTGCTGAGATTACAGGTGTGTGCCACCACACCCAGCATGTAGGAAGCTTTTTAATTAAAAATTCAAGGTCATTAATAAGTATAAAGTGCTTAAAATAATCTAATAATTCTTGAGTGAGCTAGGTTATTTTCTTTCATATAAACTTGTTCATAGTATTTCCTTATAATCCTTTTAGTATTAGTAAAATCTGTGTTGATATAACAACCTTGCTCATTCCTGAGTTTGATAAGTTGTACCTTTTCTTGATCACTAAAGGTAGAGGTTTATCAACTTTACTCATCTTTTCAAAGAACTAGTTTGTGTTTCATTGATTTTTCATAATTGCTTTTTCATGTCTATATCATTGACTTACTCTATACTCTTTTACTATTTTCTTGGGTCTCTTCTCCCTCATGCATTCCCTTTTTCCTCTTAGTTTTTGAAGATAGTATCCAATTTCACTGACTTGAAAACTTTTTTTGTACTACAAATCTCCTGCTAAGTAGTGTTTTTATTATATAGTATCTTAGAGTTTGATTACTTAAACTTATGTGTTATTTGTTAAAACACACAAGTTTCAGAATATTTGGGGATTTTTCCATATCTTTGTTATGGTTAGTTTAATTTCATTGTGATTAGAGAATATACTTGGTACTCTCTTTCCTAAATGATCTTCTGCTGCCTTTTTCTATCAATTACTGAGAAAACATCACTGAAATCTGGTAATTTCTGCCTCTTAATTGAGAAAGATCAATCATTTATAATTCAAGCTAATATTGATACAGCTGGGTTTAAATCTTCTAATTTGCTATTTGTAAAAAATGTGTCTTATCTATCTTTTCTATTTCCTCTTTCTGCAATCCTTTCAGCCTCTTAAACTTTCTCATATATTTAAAATTTTTGCTATTTGGTTGATCATTTACAAAACATGATTAACTTGAACTACTAACAAAACATTATATTTGTTAGCTAAATATTAAGTTAATGTCTTTAATATAGTACATATTTGGTAAAGCTACCATTTAACAAATGATGTCTAGGTATTCATCACAATAAGCCAAGTAACACCTTAATCAACTAGATTTCATGTATGAGGGCAATCCCATAAGATCACCACCTAACATTATAGCTACCCTTGTTTGTGTTAAGTATATGCTTATGCTACCAAAACAATTAAATCACCTAATGATGCATATCTCAGAAAGTGTCCCTGTATATTAGCAATGGAAGACTGTATTACATTTAATTTTACCAAATATATTAAAACAACAGAGTGAATAAATGTATTGCTATCTCTTTTACAGAAATTCTACTTTTGCAAAAAGGTCCACGGGAGGTTTTTTGAACCAGTGGAATAAACATCATTTGAAGTGATGACCCCCTGAGGTGAGGGGTATAGGGTGGTTGCCTAACGTGTGCAAGGCCTTGGGTTCAATCTCTAACATCACAAAAATAAAATAGAATAATAAAATGGTGGCCACCATATTCCTAACTAAAAAACTCTTGGCATTTACTTTTCTAAGGTCAAAGGTTCAAACACATCCATTAGCACTGAGTTGTCAAAATTTTCAGGGTTAAGAGATAACATCAAAACTAGCTGTCTTTTTTTTGCTTATCAGGATCAGATTTTATCAGGATAATACTAAAGAACTTCTAAAATTGGTCCTTATTTGATAGAAAGGAGAGCAAGGAAAGACAGGGGGAAAAACTTGGTCCCTACTAGAAAGATATTTTACTTTTTTTTGGTACCAGATATTGAACTCGGTTCCTTATGCTTGCAAGGCAGGCTACCGAACCACTGAGCTAAATCCTCGGCCCCTAGATATTTTACTTTCATGCAAGATATTTTTATTTATTGTTATGTAACATCTTAATTACTGCAGTGTTACTAAAGAAGTTCTTATAGTTAAGTTGAATTTCTAAATGTATATTATACTACCAAGTAAATATTTTAAAATGAAAAACCCCATACTTTATGACTGTATGGATGTATGAATCTTTTACAGTTACTGGGAAGTTGTAAAAGTCTACCTGTGAAAAAATAAAAAGTATGTAGCAAGCTACAGGGAAACTGAAAGTGTGTAAGTTAATAAATATTAAGACTCAGGAGGCTAGAAACTATTGTTTTTTGATAATGACTAAGTATTCATAGCTTTATGGAACTTTACTAGAGGCCTAACTTTAAAAAATAAAGAAACTAGATAAAAGACAAAAATAAAATTAAAAATTAAAAAGGGAATAAATTATTGTTAAAAAAAGTAACTTTACCTGATCATCATTTTCATCTGAAAAGGTTATTGATGTAAGTTTGTAGTTATTCTTCAATAAAAATTCATTGACTAAGAAGTTTAGAGCTCTCTTTTCAAGAGGTTTGATTGGCTCCTGGAAGCAAAATAGAAAGACAAATGGAAAAGTTTTCTTCCTTCAATGTTTGTGCTACCACATTATGTGGAAAATATTTTTAGATTTGTTATTTACCCACCTGAATTTCAGGACTTGATTTGTAATTTTTTCGCTCCTGTAAAGGAACTTCATGTTCTAGTGGAAGAAAATATAAATAATGTTTCACTATTTCACATTTTAAAATATCCCAGCTACTTCTACATTGGAAAAGTAGAAAAAGGTCTCAAAAAAGTTTTATGTACACCACCTGCAGCCTTTGTCAGGTTGGCTCGGAGGGCCTGAATGGTCTCCTTGGCTTTCCGTAGTTCAAACTCCAGGACTGGACAGGGATTTGGAATAAACACATACAGGCATCCAACCAAGAAAAGGGAAACAAAAATAAAAAAATAAAAAGCAAAGATGGGTATGAAAAAAAATACAATTTGTATAGAAAACAGAAAGCATGCAATCTTTATGAAACTTGTGAACGCATGCAGCAGAGTTGATTTGCAAGCAAACTGGTGAATGTTTTCCATAATTTTAGTAAATTCAGGGGACTATTATCAAATGTTCTAGCTGTCTGACAAGGAACAGCTCTATTTAAAAATAAGATCTATAACATATTTTCATGTGATTAAATAAAAATATTAGTAATCTGAGTACTTCTGTTCCATTTAGTCAGGTTAAGAAAATGTAATGAGATGTTTTCAGGTGACATAATTTAGGGGAAAGGTAAAAATTAAATGAAGTCCAAGGTAATATTCTTAAAAAGTCCCAGGATTTTATAAAGTTATTGTTAAATGCACCATCTAAAATAGTTATGTCAATATTTAGACATGTTAGTTAATAGATATCTTTATTAGGATGTTGAAGCAATATGGTTTAAATATTTAATAAATGTTGAAAAACATAAATTTTTCTACAAATAAGCATGTTTTCTAAAAACAACCACAGATATGTTAAACATATCTCAAAGCCAATAATAAACAGCTGTGAAATTTATTTTAGTTTTCATTTAAAGTCAAAGAACAGAAAGTTTCTTATAATTTCTAATTAAGATAATGTGAAAGCAAATGACTGTACATTTCAATCATTTCTAAAATTATAGAATTATTTAAGGACACTAAATAAAGTTTATTACATTTCAAAGGTCTGATAACCCTTTAAATAGATTTGTTCATGTTAAGAGGGATAATGAAACTCAAAAGATTTCTATTACTGTATATTCTAAGATAAACACGAATACTATGGATACATTTTTATTAAATTTTTAAAAATATTTCATCATGAGCAATATTTACGTGTCAACTGAAAATTTCTCTTAAAGTTTAAAAATATTGTGCTGAAAAAAATTTAGACTTAAAGGATATTAATAAATGATAGCTATAAACTTCTGCACTGAAAACTAGCAAATTTAAGATTTCATCCTAACAATGAAATTTTGTGTAACAATACTAGTAAAAAAGATGTCATGTGAAGTTGCTAATCAGAGACAAAGCTATAAAAAATATGGAAAAATTAAGATTCACTCAGTTTGCATATATTCAATAAAAACTTGATGTAGTTGAATCACATCTAGTACATGATGGCCAATTAGTTTGATGCACAGAATTTTACTGCAGCAATAAGAAAGCACAACTAAAAATCAGATGACACTGTATGTTACTACATGTTATTTGGTAGTCAGCAATGCTGATCTGCAAACATTTCTGTGCAACAAAGTTAAAATATATTCTCTAAAGCTTACATTTCCAGAATTAGTTATGTTAAAATAAGACTATATATAACACATAATAGGTCTACATAGTATAATGGTATCTTTTCAAAAACTGTAGGTAATTAATTTTTTTATTTTAAAGTATCTAACCTCAAATGTAAATATAAATATATATGCATATATGTGTGTGTGTGAACACACACACACACACATATATACACACATGCTTTCAATCACTTTGAATGCACTAAGACATATTACAGAAAAATTGCAGATCAGACATGCCCTACATGAAAATGATAGAACTATGAAAGGGGTGGGGTAGAAAAACTGGTTGAAACACAAACTGAGAAAAACTCAAAATTAAATCAGTGAGAGTTAGGTGACCAAGAGCAAAACACTGAATGATTAAGGCACAGAAAGCCAGAAAAACCCATGTCAGACGGCAAGAATTAATATATTTTATGCATATCTACATATATGTTGCCAAATGTCATTAAAAGTTACCAATAGTTTGAAAAAAACAGTGCCTACCAAAATGAATTCACTCTGCTGCATGTTTCTTAGTATACAATACAGATTTTAAAAGACAAAGGTATATTTCTGAAACTATTACACATCTCTTAAAGGCACAGTATAATAAAATTACAGTTATATAACTTTCACAAAAAGGTTCTTTAAAGCAGTGCTAATATTTACATATATATCAATTGTATTTTTATCAAAACATTAAAGTTCAAAAATTATCTTGCAAAGAAATACATTGTAAAGAACAATTTCTAAATATTTTTCAAATACTAGAATTCTTTCTGAAAATGTTTGAGGATATGTGCATTTATAAAGCATGCTACAGGAACCAACAACCGTCCTGTACAATTTATGGCTAAACCTACTGAACTCTCTTACTGGAACCCAAGTAGTAACTGGACATATGTACCTACATAGTAATATTGCACATTATAATTTTCCCAAAACATAATTAATGATTAAGGCAGGATAAACAATATAAAATTAGTTGAAACAGTTACTTCCTAATAAATATTTATAAAACTGGTAGAATATCAATGGTACTTGAGTGCATAAAGGTATTCATTCATTCTTTCATGACTAAGGATACATAAACTATGTGGAAATGTCAAATGTGAAGTGGTATCAAAGGAGAAATAATACAACTTTGTGGATCATCTCAAATTATTACTAATAATATCGTTAATACTCATAAAGCTTAGCTTATTTTGGCATGAAGCTCAAAATACTATAGTATTTTGGAATATCTTTCCTATAATACTCGTCTGAGTTATATATTTTTTCATTTCCATTCCAGTTGACCATTCAAGAGTTGAAACTAATAGTCTGAGTTAGGACATCATCACTTCATTAGATAGTAGATATCTAAGCGTCTTCTTTCAGGTCAAAATTTTTTGTATTCTTTTGTCTTAATGTAAGATGAATCAAGACAACATTTCTCAATTTTTAATACTTATTTTAGTATCCTAAGATTACTTCTAAGGAAAGGAAGAATTCTCTTTTCTTTCTTTTTCCTTTTTTTCTTTTTTTTTTTGGTACTGGGGATCGAACTCTGGACCTTGTGCTTGCAAGGCAGGTGGTGGAACCACTGAGCTAAATCGCCAGCCCTCTTTTCAATTTTCTTAAGAGTATGTTAGAATAAAAATCCATTTCTAAAGTAACACAAAAATCCTGGTCAATATCACCACCATTTCTACTGGATTTAGAGAATTTTCCCTGTCTATTATGGACATAAGAAATACACAGTCTTGTTAGTCATGACTTACAGAGTGATAAGCAAATCAAAGCAAGATGCACTCTCCATAATTTTTTTCCATAGTCATTTTAGAAGAAAAGCACCCTTTTTCTATCAGCCTTTATTTTTTTAAAGTATGTCATATATTTTAAAATAGTCATTTTTAAAAATTTTTAATTTTTATTAGTATATGTTTACAGTACATAATGATTACACTCATTATGGACAACTGGTACATGTACATCCCACAGCCTTTAAAGAAAGAAATTCTTCTGGGTTACTGTTCTTCCTGCTCAGATTCCTTTGTCACTTGTCTCAAAGTTGGTGTTTCTCAGGGTGTTATCCTTGCCCCTTTTCTCTTTGTACCGTACCTAACCACTGAGATGAAACTCCTTGCTGTGATGATATTTATCACAAGTACTATAAGACTCAAATTTTTAAATTATTTTTTCAAGTACAAACCTACCTAATTATCTCGAGATGCCCACTTGAATGTCTCCTAAATTTTGAATTTTATCTTATCTAAATGAATTTCATTATCTTCTTATTCAATCTGGTCTTTCTCCTATAGTGCCTCTCCATTAATGTCACCATTATGTATCAGGTTGGTCAAACAGGAAGCTTGGAAATTATCCCTCACTTATTCCTTGTCATTATCCTCTCATATAAACTAAATGTTAAACCATGTGATTGTAATCCTCTACCAACTCTCTAACCACTCATTTTTCCAATTGCCAGAGTATAGACATATTATCATATAAACTATTATAATAACCTACAATTTTATTAAAGGCTTTAAAAAAAATCCCCTTTCGTTTGTTGTTGTTGTTGTTGTTTGGTGTCCCGAGACATGATCTCAATGTGTAGTTCAGGAAATGTTAATCTAAATAAAATAACACCAATATACAAAACCTTAAAGATTATATAATCACAATTATTTTTAGCTTAAATATAGCTACCTACCAAAATTATTTTTTTTCTCTCCAAGACTATCTTAATTTCATGATAACAAATGTAGATAAATCTATTTGCAAAATGCTATCTTCAGCCTTGTCAGAGTACCTATCTTATTTTCATTGATTTTCAGTGATACAAAACTGTAAGATTTAGATATAGCTCAAAATAAGAAAATCAAAACTACTGGTAATAAGAAAGGAAAACATATTAACCAGAGGAGAAGTAGGTTTAAAAATAATCCTAAAACAGCTGTGTATGGAGGTGTCAGGTCACTATCTAAGGAATGAAAGGGCTACTCACCATATCTCTTACTCAGGGGAGAAAAGTATCTTATAGTATTTTTATTTTACAAATAACAAATCTGAATACTGAGTGGGGGATTTAGCTTAGTGGCACAGTGCCTGCCTTGCAAGTGCAAGGTCCTGAGTTTGATACCCAGTACAAAAAAAAAGAAAAAAGAAAAAAAAAAAAAAAAAAAAAAAA